AACCATTAATGAGCCTAATGCAATCGAGCTGTCGGCACTTGACGATGTTTTTTCGCTTTATTAAGCCGCGTTATTTGCTGAAGCCCAATCGATATCACCATCGTGTCGTAAGCACTGTTCCCTGTATCTCATTTTTGGTACGGCCATGGTATGGCGTAGAGCGAATCGGTTTAGTCATTCAAATCATGTCGTCTGGCGCAGCAGGACTTATTACTTTAGGTGATGACGTTTCGGCCCAGCGCATCGATAAACGAACGCTGGTTACGCATGAGTCACTACACAGACTATTATTAGAAGCCTGGGTCCGGGAGGTGGGACTAATAAACACTATTTAGTTCTCCCTGGCCACCTCAAGTAGGAGGAGAAGGCAGTTCGGACGAGGTTGCTGGATGTACAAGGTCGTATCAACATCCTGTGTTCCAGTTTCCTGGTCTAGTTACCCTAGTGCCTCGTTTCTCTCCCCATCACGTCTTAAACTCGCCCGCATCCATCCTGTCTCATCCATCCTCCTTGCCTTCCTGCATCCTCCTGCGTCTTGATTCACCACTCTGCTCCTTCCGCATCTCATCAAATCTCGGGAGATCTCGTTTGTCCACTTTACGCCTGGCGCTATTTCATTACCGGTAATGCTAGGAGGTCTCGTGGGGTTGATTCTTTCAATCAGAAAATGAAAAATGGACAAAACTGGCAGGAATGGGCAAAATGACTAAACCAACCAACAAATTGATATCAGCACCAAATACCCAACCATGCAAACAAACATACTACCTATACCAACCAAGCAAAAAATCAATCATCACTGCAAAACAAATTAACATATCAAAAGAAAGAAAACAAGACAGTGTCCCCAATCGCACAATCCTTTGATTCAGAATGGCTGTGTAAGTCTTTCAATGTCTACTCATGGGCCGGATTTGTCGTTACGGGGTGACCCTATGCGATGGCACTGCCCGGCTGACATTTGGTCAGCCATTCAGTGAGATATGTGCAAAGATGACACTGTGCTGGCCTCTATTGGAACAGCAGAATTCTCCCGAAAGATGACGAAACCAGCCCATTACGGCTTACAACAGGAATACTCTAACAGTACCATCTTCATTCTCTTTGTATGATACCCAAGGTTTCAATGTCTACTCATCGTTACGGGGTAACCCTATGCGATGGCACTGCCCGGCTAACATTCAGGCAGTCAGTGAGATAGATATCGGCATAAAGGTGACACTGTGCTGGTCCCCATCGGAACAGCAAAATTCCACCAAGAGATGACGAAACCAGCCCATCCAATCTCTCCTATTATCCTAAACCAAGGAGCAATTGGAAACGGGGCTTGCAACAGGAATACTCTAACAGTACCATCTTCATTCTCTTTGTATGATACCCCAGGTGCTGTTCCTCTGACTGTAGCGTTTCTCTCTCGTCGACGCGATCTATCAAACGACACGCTTTGCGAACTTCACGGTTTATTTGAAAGCGCCAAACAGTTCCTCAAGCCCAACCACAGCGTCATACACACTCATTATTTATTTTTCCAGCTCCTTCTCTCTGCAGAGATATGAATAAGCTCTTGCTTCGCTGTTGGGAAGTGACAGGCCCGGGATGGTTTGTATCATATCGGCATCAGTCTTATCCGACAATCTGTCACAGAGAATATCTTCAGCCGTCCGTAAAGGAATAATCAACGTCAACATTTTCACGAAGCTTCGGCCACAGGGATAGAAAAACATGTTGGTTTAATCTACACGAGCATCTTTGAGACGCCGTCTTGGATATGTTTCCTAGTATAAAAATGATCCAAGCGCTCCATTTAATCTTATAGTCTAAAATGTGTGAATTTGTTTCTCTTAAAAAGGCCTGCAACATAATGACGCCACGCTTTGTTAACACGTGCGCCTTCTTATGGGAGCTTGATGGCTCGTCCCATCCCTGGCTGTCATAAGAAAGCGCACATGTAAACAAAGCGTGACGTCATTATGTCCGTTGAGTCTATTTGATAATTGAAAATCTTTACTTCGGGGAGAGACGTTTCGCACACGCGCACACGGCACATTTGAGAAACATACTGTTTTGTTTTAGTGGCTTAACGTTGAAGGCGACGATGCGTCTGCAATGATGCAGCAAGGTGATTGGCGATGAAATGAAAATGGCAGAGGGCTGTTTGTTTTCCCTGGGGAGGATTCTATTATCACAGCTTGCCCGCCACTAACTGACCGACTGGATTTAAATGTTATACCTATAAAAATCCTGCGCGCAATGCATGACGAAAACAATATCTGGCTGGCTAGTGCGCCATAGGGCACGTTGGTAACTTTCTGTAATATTGTCTGATACAGTAGCTCATGGTTATATGTCAGATATAGTGCACTGTATGAGTTCAACAATGCAATACGCAAATTCCAGCGAATTACGACAGAAACTGAGCACAGAAAAGTTTGCGAAACAGGTTACTTGACCAGAAAGTTATGAAGCCCGGGTTCTTTTGACCAGCTCTGCGCAAATAGGCTACACAAAACTCCATTCACTTCCGAGTTGGTATATTCATGTAGTTTTTAAGCTCGGGCAGGAGCTTCTACAAGTCACTTTGGTGTCGGTCGGTCGTTTGGTCGCCGAAAAATTGACCAAAATAAATTGGGCAAATGCCATGCCGTCGTCCGTAAATGCACTCTATAAATTGTTTGTAACAATTCGTTAAGTTTTTACGAAAATTGTGTAAACGGAGGCAATTATATGTATAGTATTGTAGTCACGTGGTATTTTCTGTAGAGTTTGGACGGTATCCTGAAGGAGGGAATGAAAATTGACGAAAAGTATGGAGTTCCATATGTGCCATCGGCGTCGCATTTTTCGCCAGAGCTTATTGTGCACTCACACTTGTTTTAATGTGCCATACTTGCACTATGAAATGCCATACTGTCTTATCGCGTTTTCTTTTCTCTCACTCTCAGGGGTTCAGAGTTAAGAAGTGGGGGGTTCTGAGAAATTATTACATACATTACACCATGGAGCAAGGAACGGTCGATGTCTCACGTGTCGTCAAGTCTCGCATATTCACGCGGTCAACAAGCCGTCTCCAGGATGGAGTACACGCCGGAGTCCATTGACGAAGCAAGTCTCGTGAGATTTCACTCGTGAAGTCCCTCCTTTTCGTCCACACGCCGTCGATTTGTTATTGACCCAAAGTCTACTGGCGCCATGATTACACTAGTCTGGTCACTAAATAAAGCAAGCCGAATCTCATGATTATTTGCATATAGATTCCCTTCACACTGTCTAAAAAGTGCGGGCGACAAAAGAGGATGCTGAAAATATCAACATTTGACTTGGAAATGGCAAGTTTGGGATGCGACCACGTAACATTTTAATTCCGCATCGAATCTGTCAGGCCTTTTTTTTTTATCCTTCCCACATTCACACCCACTCCACTCCGATCCTCTCAAGTACAGCGACTCCTCGCCGGTGGTCTGTGTGCGAAGGGAGGCTAATGAAAGAAAGTAGGACAGAATAACGGATATAAGACTGGGCGAGGAAGAAGGAATTGGGAGCGATTGAAGGAGGAAAGGATCGGGACAGGCAGGAGCAAAGATGGAAATGAATATAAATTAGAAAATGGAAGGACTCGCAAGAAAGGCGAGGAAAAAGAAACAAGGAACGACGGGGGAAAGTTAGGGCACATGACAGTTGAGAAAACGGGCTTTGTGGTCAAGACCTCAGGTGGGGGATTAAAGGTATTGGATTGGGGAAAGAATTATGGAAGGGGAGATGGATGAAGAAACAGGTGGAATCATGCAGAGATGAAATATATGGGAAAGGGGAAGATTATAAGTGGTTAGGACTAGAAGGTGGGTTGGAATTTGATGAACTTGGGGTCACTAATGGACTGTACAGGAGGAATATTTATGTCGTGCACTGTCAAAACGAAATCTACATTATTATTTTTGCACAGTATAGATTCTACTTGTTTATTTCTTTGCACACAAACAATAGATACGTCTTGGTACTGAAATTGCGAAGGAATTTTAGCTTCTCTGAAAACTGTCAATGTATGTGTCGCAAAGCAACAAATGTGAAACGCATGTTTTGTTCGAACACGCGGGACTAGTTTGTCTCATTGAACATAAATTTAGTGGAGTGTGATGGCCTAGCGGTTAAGAACACCGGACTCACGTTCTGGTGTTTCAGAGGCAACAGTGACGTGGGTTCGAGCCCGCCGGCGGACACTTGTGCTCTTAAGCAAGGCACTTAACCAGTATTGCTTCGTCCTTCGGATGGGACGTTAAGCCGTAGGTCCCGTGTATTGTATAAATGCACGTAAAAGAACCCAGTAAACACTTATCGCTAAGAGAAGGGGTTTGCCCCGGTGTTTCTGGCCTCCTGTATAAACTCCCACGGGAGTATTTAGGAGAAGAACCAACCAAGAACCAAGAACCAAGAAGAGCGATTTGGGGTTTAGAAGGATAACACGTAAATGCATTGTTTAATTAGGACGACATTCAAAACATATTTCAATGTTTTAATATTGGCATGACAAAATCATATGGGGAGACAAATACGAGGAAAGAGACACAGTGGAAAGCACAGATATCGCATGGGCAGGAATAGACAGGAGAAGACTGAACAACAGATAAAAATTCAAGTCGGAAGGCAAATTTATGTAGATGCTTTACGATAATAAAGATTGGTGATGTATCACAATATACTATAGCAAGGTTAATCACATTTGCATTCATGTGTATCATTCGCCCATAGTAATACATGTATATATATTCCGCTCGTTATAGACAAATGACCATGCAAGGGAACAAAACCGGCAGGCAACCATTTGGCTCCGCATCCGGGAAAGCATCCTCATGAAACCGCAAACGGCAGTTGCTACAGCAACAAGATAATAAAGCAACCCAGATCCAAGTTACGCCGTAATAATAAAAACGGCCATCTCATCCCCGGCGCCATGGTAACCACGGTACAAAAGGCGCATCAATTAATCAGACCACGCATCACACACGTTTTTTTTTTGCTACAGTGGTAAAATTTATTGGTCATTTGAACTGATCGGTTTTACAAACAAGCCGCTGAGACATGACACTGCAGTTATGAGAAAACAGGGCAAATGGGCTGATTCGAGAGTACAAAATATGGAATGAACTGGTTTTGAATATAAATTACAAATGAAATAATTTAGTAAAGATATGACTTTAAGCATGCACACTAACGATGATATTAATATCATACATTTTTAAAGAAACATCTCGAGTGAGGAAAATGTACAGAATCAAAGCGGTAAAAACAGTATACCATTTATATAATTAATATAATTAAAAATACAGAATGTAGCAACATTCTTGATGATGCTTAGTCCTTTAAAATGTAGGTTTAATAAATGAAATAAAACATGGTTCATTGAAAGAAACCCAAATTTAAACATGGACAAAATTATTTATTCGTGAAATTCGCTATGATTCAACATCAGGCTGATCAGAATTAATTGGGTATTCCCCGTTCCTGTTAGCTTTAGTTTCTCAGAAAAAACCCCAGTTGTTTGACTGCTACATTTTTTGAGTCTCAATATACATGTACAACCCGATAAGGGCGATCATGAGGCACCCTTTTCACTGTAGGCCTATCTTCAACAGCTGCAGAAAAGCTGAAATATATTCTGCAGTCTACTGAGCGTGTGAGGCATGAACTGACCATCACCGTTATTAACTCTCAAGTTCACCTGATTTCAACTCACAGTAAACAACTTAATTACACGAACAAAGGCGATCAATTTCTGGAGCACAATATATCGATTGCTAAATTGTGCGTGATAACAAAGCACAAACTCTTGAAACAAAAACAGTCAGATACTGTGTTTTTCATACATGTAGTTTCCCATTGCAAATGACTGTTGGTGCTAACCCTGTTGACTTATTATGACACAAATTAATCCCCTTAATCCAGATTATCAGATCAGTGTGATGTAATAAAATAGTAACATAATAGTACATTTTGGATTTGTCAAAGGTAAACGTTAAACGTAGCACACAAAAGGCTCTAATAGCAAACAGATATAATGTTTAATATGGCTGTTGACCAACTTTGATAATATTTTAACATCATATTAAAGTGAATATTAGGTATGTTTTAATTGATATTAATAAAATTTTAATGATACTGCCACAAACGAACGACTTTAAAGCAGGCATGGTGAAATAAAGTGACAGGATACTGTGGTACACTCACAATACAGCCATTTGGGTTTGTATATTATGCACAAGTCTAAGACGCTCATAGCGAGGCTCAAGATCAATAGTCTGGCACCAATGATGTGCTGGTAAACCCGCAGTGACACAATCCAAGGCTTCTGGGATTCAGACCAAGATGGCTACACTGTGAGATGATATACTCATAAATAATGCCTCATACTTACAGGCTTAAAAATATTGATATGTACTTATACTTTACACATATTCACAATTTACACAATATCCATGCACATTCAGGGAAAAACAAAATCTTTTAACAATCCGCAACATACCCAATATTGACGAATCCATTTTAATATTACACTAATGAATTTGGCAAACTAAGAACCGTATACACGACCCCATCTCTCCATGGTAATTTACAACCTTGCACCACTCAACAAAATATTCAATAATCAATAAATAACTCGTATGACAGAGACACCGACGCTTTGGTTACAGGTATAGATATCTACAAGTCCATATATACTACATGAGCAAAAAACAGCTTTGGTTAACTTAAGACGTAGTGCATAGACCGAAACACTTGTGTTTATGACACGGGCACGTGATATGTTGGGAGTGTATACTTGAGATGTGACAGCCTGTAGTGCAACATGGGAGATTGCATCCTGGCATTCATGGAGGAACCTCGAGACGAGGACAGAGAAGAGAAGAAGCTCAGGAGAGTATTCATTTACCATCTCCCCTTACCCAGGACCTGCCACTGGATAAGGGGAATCATGGAAACCAGACACTTTGCAGGTGATGCTTGTTGACTATGATTTTTTTTTTTTTTTTTGGAAATGGCATCAAATGCCAACAGCTTCTTGAGTAGGGTTCGGGTTGAACCTTGGAGGCAAGCAGATCACAAGACATTCCATCACAAGATGACAGGCCCGGAGCTAGAAGAGAAACTCAGGTGCATTAATGCAGCTCAATTAACAAAGGAGATGGGAAAGAGGGTGGGGGAGAGGGAAAGTGTTCTACCGTGCACTCCCTTGTTTATGCCAAGCGTTCTATTTTGAGTCCAAACTTACTGCCAAGTCTGTTGGGTCTGTGGCAGCTCTTTCAAGCCGAGTTGTTTTTGGTAGAATTCTGATGGAAGGCTAATAAGATTCCCCTGCTACACTTGAGACAAAACCGGACAGCCCTTGCAGGCAAATCAGGCGCGAGAAGTGTCGGTTGCGTCTCTTTTCGTTGCCAGTGTGCGTCGAGCGCAGTGAGGGAGCACTCTTTGCGAATATTAATTCACTCGATGCAGCTAACTACTAAAGCAATGGAGGTAGGGGGAGAATAAGGGGAAGAGCCCGAGGCAGGGAGAATGTAACAAAGAGTATAGAAGAGCGGTGTGAGGCAAGTTCAGTGCCCCTTGCTGAAGGGACGTCAAAGAATGGTCAGAGAGAACAAGTGGCCACAATAGAGAGGTTTTTAAGTGACAGGGTGGTATGCAATTAATCATGCAATCCCTTGTAGTCTACAGGAAGGTGCCCACATTATACAGTTTGTGTAAGAATAAGACTGAACAGTCCCTTCAAAACGAAATTCTGTGGTAAATTTCCCATATTTTCAGTCACTTTTCATCATCAACACAATCTTAAAAGCTATTCCCATGTTTAGTAAAACCTAATCAAGTACCCAGCCAACAGTCCACATGTATAAGTTTTTTTGTGAATACGCAAGTGCTAATAAAACATTCCAATTTTCCTTCTCTACCCTCTCTGGAGATTGGAGAATATATACTTACAAATGGATTCCTAAGAAAGGGGGAAAAATACATTTGGCAATATTCTGAAAGCCCCAGGTGGTGAATAGTTAATGTTAATCACATAAATTACAACACATTGATGTTTTTTTTTGTTAATACAATAGTAATACGAGGATAATACCAACATTTTTATACATGTAGCACTTTCGCTGGCGGATCAATACATTTCACACGTTATCATTTTGATCAACTAGGCATGTATAGGATACTGTAAAAATACAGGATTTGTGGTGTGAACGTGTGTGCTGTGTCACTTGCCTGAATGCTCCGTACTTTACTGGAAATGTCAAACTCCTTGAATGACGCAGTTTCGGCACCCTTTCTAGCCTTGACAGGAAAAGAAAAACAAATCACTGTCAGTCTCCGGCCTGAGGTGAATTTCACAGCGTTCCTTACATGGAAAGGGTTCAAATTAGCCACAGGTGGAAATATCACATGATTGATGTCTATTTTCACCTTTTTTTCCAAGCTTCTTCTTTTTTAAATAACTTTGTGTTAGTTGATTACTATCTTTTTCAACATCTTCAGTCAAATAGTGCAAACCTTTTCTTATTCTGGTCAGAATTTCCAACCACAAATTTTCAGGAAATCAGCAGGCTTCCAAAAAAATCACTCTTTTAAATTTTTAAAATTCTTCCTCCAAGTTTGGATCTAGAACTGAGCCTCATGTGTTACGAATGTGGCTAAAGACACGTTCACTCCCAGTTGCACTCTCTGATGGGTAAGTGGTGTCGTAAAGCAACCTACAATGGACAATACATCGCACAGTTGCAGCGCAGCTTTTTACAGTACAGTCAAATCTCGTTAGTACAAACTCTGTTAATACAAAATTCTGGTTATATAACAAACATAAAGCCTTAGTCCCGACTGTGCATTTATGTGCACAATGAATGGGACCGATGTTCCTCTTGATACAAAATTCTGATATATAACAAACAATTTGGCTAGGTCTGAACGAGTTTGTATTAACTAGACTCGACTGTATATGCATACACATGTACAATGGTTGTGGTCTGTACATAATTCTTATAGTTATAATCATTAAAGTGAATTACTATTTAGTGAGGCACAGAGATGCTGCTATACAAAATGTGAACAATCAACAAATTAAATTCTATTTTAGAGTAACAACTTTTTCCTCTTCAAATTACATGGTACATAAATACAGTAGGCCCTTTACTTTCAGTGCGTACTCTTTAGTCCAATTACAAAATATTACATGAACAATAGACATGTTTCCAACAAACTACATAATGTACAAATAGGACATGGTTATGATTTTGGCCGTATTGGAAACAAAACCAACGAAACCTTTCAATTTTAAACATGCCTCATTTTCTCATCAACAAGAGTGGAGTTTAATGAGACAGGTCGAGGCTGGTGCCTATAACATAGAATCATTACAGCAACATTGTCTTGCCTCCTTGGAACAAGACCAAGTTGTCAATATGTAACCCAATTGGGAAAGAAAGCTTTTATTTTCAGATTTTAATTCCTCGTTTTCTGAGAACAATCTTGGATGGTTTATCAAGTTGTAAACAACAACAAAATTGGACAATTGTGTCTGCAGAATGACACATGTACAAATCATACATGCGAGATACTAAGGACAGTTCTAAGAATGTTATTAAAACCCTATTTCCAATCACAAAAACATGTAATAAATACTTTGTACAAAACCAAAATCTATAAATATTCCTACAAGTAAAATGTCTCCAAAACAACCCCAACCCCCCAAACAATCAGTGAAAATTAAATTCCATGAAAGCTGATCGTGTTGCACGGAGCCTCTTCTCATTATGCACGACAACACCATATGCGGAAAGGTGTTTACAAAAAAGTGATATATGACTAACTGCTACAGTCATTCGTTTATTTACTTTTACAAGAATGTTACACATCGCAAACGCGGGGAAACTTCCCAAATTCCCAAATTTGGTATCAAAGCTTAGGGCCTACACCCCAAATTTTTCTTCATGAGCAATACATTCATTCAGTGAAAATAATGGGATCCAAATTTAAGCATACAATCCTAGCATCCTTCACTTAATGACACTTTATTTAACTGTTGAACTACAATTTTGAAATTTATTAGAAATTTCTATAATATGACAGTTAGCTCCTTCATAATTTTTTGGTTTGGATATATGCAAATTTGTTCAGTTAATACAAAAATGCCAGAGGAACAGTGATTTAAAAACAAATATGCTTTTTTTAAAGCTTGATTGGTACTACCGGTATGAGAATTTTTTTTCTGTAAAATACCTTTAGATTGAGTGTGCACGCACACAATGTTGATGAAATACGGTAATTGCTGGTATCAATTGCACACTGCTGGAAGCTCTGAAGTTATAAAGTACATTGTAATTTCAATTCAGACAAATTCACGCAGGCACCTTGATCTTTTTTGCAATTTGGATGGATTATTGTCGACCTTGAAAGCTCCATTTGATCAGAAAAACGCCATCAATGCCAGATCACAGACCATTAACTTTGAATTGTACGTGAAAGGATCGGGTTAGCAGTACTCTGATTATCCTACGAAAATTGGTTACAATCTTTTCACTCCACTATAATTCATTTTGATAACTATTACTTTGAGAGAAAAGAATTAAGAATTGCAATATCGCCTTCAACATTTACTATCTGAAGTCATGCGCAACATGAGGGATCTTTCATACCACGACACACTTCATGAAGGGGGGGGGGGACGGGACACAATCAAATTCTATCACACAACAAGACGAGTCCGTGCGACTGTTCCAGAAGCGACTTTCCCAGGGTTCTTTTGGGACTGTGTTTCCATGGAATTCTCAAAAAATAACCACTAATTAGCTTAGCATTTTTGTCATATTTTTGACAAGTAGACTCTTCACACTGTTCGCAGGCAGTCCCTTTGAAGAGGTGAATTGTTCAGGTAATTTAGGAACATTGAGCGATTCAAGGGCTCTCAAATTTTTTTCGCTGAAAGCTGAAGTGGTTTTTTTTTGTATCCGTGGAGAAAAAAAAGCACAATCAATGCAGGTGGGTCATGCAACTCAAGTAAAAAAAACAACCATTATAAAATCACGTTCCCCTCATCATATTTTGCAGTTTGCAAATTTTTTCACTTCAAATGGCCAAATATACAACTGCAAATCAAATCAGACATTTACTTGACTATTTTGGTCCCAACGCTCACTGAGAAATGTTTTGATGTTCCCAAAACATTTTCCAGGATTACTTCCCAAATAAAAGGGGAAAAAACAGCCAATCCATCGGCCAAAAGTTTAGTTGAAGCAATTCAAGCAAACTTTATCTAGAAAAAGTACCTCACTGCAACTTTAACGTGAGTTCAGCAAATTGACATTTTGTGATTGACATGAGTTCCCTCCAGCACGGCCAAGTCTAATAGTACTTTGCGTCTTCGTTTCTTCCCCAAATTGCAAAGGCCTTGGGATTTAGGTCAAATTTCTGAAAAAAAAAAGTCAGGCCCCAGAAAAGGGAAAAAATAGTCCCATTTCAGAAGGCAGACAATAAATACAATGGTCTGAACAATGACAAAAACCGATAAAGCTTGCTGGTACAATGGAATTGAAAAATACATAACATTTGTGATAGCTCCTTTAAGATTGTGTGCAGACAGTAACCTTGGTACAAGGTTAATCAAAGGTCATGAAGATGACTGTGATAATCTCCCCAGGGAAACAGTTATTAAAGTGATCTGCTTACAATGTGTTGTATACAATCCATGTGATAGGGTTATAAGGCTTAAAGGGACACTCTCAATCCAAATTATTCTTGGCCCATTCATCAGTGGGCATGCACTGTGTTAAATCTGCCGCATAGGTGGGTAGGATAAGATTAAAATATTTCTTTTTAATACTTTTGAAATGGACAACATTACCATCTCCAATTATAGTTATATTTTTTTCTCACATCACAGTGAGTGTACATAAGAAACTACATTCATGTGCTGTACATGTAAACCTCCATATAGAGTTCAGCATTCACTCTGACCTCAGTTGTCTTTGAAATTTGTAACTTCAGAAGTCCTGTTGCAATATAAAATCTGCGACACCGACTTTCCTGACCAGATTTCAAACTCTGAAGGAAGAAAACAGCTTTCAAATTCTAAAGTAACAATTTTTAATGCTTTTTCTTAAAAAAAAAAAAAAAATCAGAATTTAAAGCCAATTTTAAAAATTTGCATTTCATGAGTTCTGCCGAAGGCTCCTTGATCACGTTACCCTGAAGTCCATGAATTCTGAAAGCCAAAACAGTTTATTACGAGGTCTCCGAGGAGTGTGATTGGGTGGAAATGGCTGACTCAACAGCTCTTAATTTGATTGGTTATGTTAGTCATGTGACCTCAACCTGCTACAGGTTCGAATTAGCATAATTGATGTAGAAATTGTGAGTTAGAATCCCTAGCACAACGCTGTTGAGAATTAACATGTATACATCACTGAAAGACCTCCTGAACATACTTTTGTTGTTATCGTCTTACCTTACTCCAGTTTGACCACCAAAAAAAAAAAAAAACCACGATGTTAAAGGAAAAGCCAAGGTCTAAAAATAACCCACTAATCCCCAAGAATTTACTTTTGTGTTGCTCCAAGAATAAGCCGGATACAAACATCGGATTAACCTGCGTACAATAATTGGACTTGACATATTGTAGCCACTTTCTATGCTGTGAATACCAACCGACTTTCGGTTCGGACAACTTGACTCACGACCAGATGACAGTCTTTTGAAGGCAGCTCCCAGTTTCTGTCAACAATCTTTTCCGGCACGATGTTCTTCATCTTTGGCTGTGGTTCTCGAAGACGAAAAGAGAGATGTTCCTCTAACGCAGTAATCATCTACAGATGGGGACAACAGGAGAAGAGAAAAAAAATACATCCAGCTGTCACTTAAAGGTTATTAGCGGAGGAATATCTGTTGATAGAAAAGTGCAGTAAAGTTCACTCGATTCTCCCGAGGGATGCATTTTCATCCTGTGGTTGTATCACCTTGAACTAACCAGCCTGGTATGACATTGACATGTTCGTGTGCATTTTTTTTTAGAAGGGCTCCAGGGTTCTATATGAGATGATGAGTCTGGTGTTGAGATCAACAATTTACGGTCGGCAGGAATTCTTGCTGGGTGTGGTATATCAATCTATTATTACACGGTGTTGCATTGGAGTTCGGATAATACATGTAGTTAATACAGCCACAACAGGCTTCGAGTCTATCTGTTTTAAAAAAGGAAAAAAAAAAAAAAAAAGAGTCTTAAAGCAGGACTTGACTTGACATGCAATAATTATGTACATTGTATTAAAGATTCTGATATCTAGATACCCAGTTGAATGTTTAAATACAAATGATATTTTACACTGGATTAAAAAAAGAAGAAGAAATCACAATTTTTTCTTTGATAAATCAGTTTTACTCTGACAAATGTATTCCACTTTTTTGTGTGCATATTTGGCATCGGTTTGTGACAAAACTTTCTACGCAGGTTCACACTTCATGGAAATGTCAGTGTGAAGCTAATTTGATGTCCCAAAAAGCAAATGTTCAACTTTCACAATTCATCAGGGTGACTACATTTGCTGGATTACATTACATTCTAGTTCACTACCCAGCACTTCACTTTTGAGCTGAGTATGTCCATAGAGCTAGGACCGGGTATGTCAAAACAGCACATTACAAACACAAATATTATTTTGACCAAATATCTTGAAATATGAAACATTTGTCTCTACTCCAAGTACACAGAAGAGGACGGAAAATGCTTTTAGAGATCCATTTCTCGATATTGGATACCATTTACCCACTTCACATACGGTACAGTTTACTTCAGATCAGCAGCGTAGCCAGGGTTCTCACCATGTACATGTAGGGGGCCAGTGGGGGGGGGGGGGGGGGGGGGAGGTGCTGATGTTACAGTGGGGGGGGGGGGGGGGTACCGGATGTTACAGTTGGGGGGGTGCTTGCTGTTGGGGGGGGGGGGGACCCCGATTTCTGTTTAACCCGTTAACCATGGTCACTTATAGAACTAACAAATTTCTGAGGGGGGGGGGGTTACAATGTCCCCCCCCCCCCCTCTTTGGCTACACTGCTGCTCGAGATACAATTTCCTACTTCTTTTGAATCAATATTTTTAAAAGCCTTCACATATACCGGTTGGTGACACAAAGTTATGACAATGAGTTTCCTTGCAATTGATCAATAAGCTCTACTCCATACACAGCTGCAGCTACCGTACATGTATTTACTTCAGTCAAATTCTGATTCAACGCACATCAAATACACATGGGGAACTTCAAGCAAGCATACTCCAAACTGTAAACACTCTGGATAACTCTTTAAAATACTGGAGAACTCTAGAGATTTGCCTGCCAGGAGCCAGACCCCACGTAATTTTTTTTTTTTTTTTACGAGTAATGTCTAATTTGTCCGAGGGGACGAGGAGGGTTGAGCCGAAGGCCCTAGCGATGATGGCGCCAGTATCTATGGTGGTAGCCATGGAGATAGGCTGGAGGAAAGGTCAGGTTGGAAATAGGTCATCAAAGACTTACATGCAGAGGATAGAATATAGACGAGAGTATTTACAGGGACTATGGGTCTTGGATGTGACAAGTTATCCAGCCTGGTGATTTGTCAAAATGATCCAGCAAAGGGACAGATTGCACCTGCAAAGCCGATATGAAAAATAAATGAGTTTTAAAGTTTCTTTTAACCATGTGTGGCCCATTTTCTTCTTCTTGTAGGTTACGTCCTCAATCTTTTTTGGGATCAATTGCACCTGGTGTTTTAAATAGGGCATGCGAAATATCATGACATTACCATTCATCACACTGGTGGTACTGTAAATGTAAATGTTCATGTATTCAGGTCAATCCTAACTCATGGGTATTCTGACTTCCAGGTTTTCCGAATCTACAATGTACAAACATTCAACTCTTTGTAGATTCATAATATGCAGTCCTTAATCTACAAAGATATTTCAAAAGCAGATGTAGGTTTTGAAGGATTACAGGACTTTTTTTTTTTTTTTTTTTTTTTAATGATGTAAATTTTGGTAATCCTTTTGGGGTTATCTCTTGAGCCAAAATTGATGAAAAAAGGCTATTAACAGAATAATTTAGAGACTGTTTGTTGTCTGCTATGGTAATGTGCAAGTCCACGTCGATGTAGTGTACCAGTACTTTATTTTTATGAGGTGAACTTCATAGAAACCTTGTCATTTGTTTTGACAGAGTCGTCGTAAAGTTTTATGGAGGTGATATGTACAGGTTAGTATTGGTGATATTTTCATGGCCTACATTTGTCACTTGAAGCAAATGTATGTAATAAGGCCCCCCCCCCCCAAAAAAAATAGTTCTTCTTCCGTGTACCCTACCTACATGTACCAATTACTACCTTTTACCTTTTACTACACGCAGACACCTCCATATGATCGTACACAAAATAAATTGCCAAATTTTTTTGGCCTTTATACCCACACAAAAATTCTGGCAGAAAAAAGACAATTCCCAGGCATGCAACTGGGAAGTCACCAAAAAAGAGAGAAAATTACAAGCTTTACAAGTCTCTCACAGTCTCAGCAAGGTTTTTTAAATTTTTAATGACATAGAGAAGTAAAAAGTAAAAGAGGAAATCAACCGATCCGAGGAAAGTCACATGCCTGAGAGCCAAAACTTTAGAAATTTATGAGTAGTACTGGTAATCCATGTACGTTTCAAAATGTCGGACTTGTCCCTACATGTTTCTGTGAATGAGAAAGTGTTGAGTAGGCCCCCCCCCCCCTATTGCAGGAAAAGAAGCCGGAGGTAAAACTACGTCACAGAAGTCAATTTCAAAGGCCCTTAAGATCATTTGCAATAAATTAACTTGAAGCTTACAAAAAACCTAACTTGAAGTAAGATAAAATTGGTACAAACATGTGGAATGTTGTCATAATGGAATGTTTTTAGTTTTAAAAGATAAAAGCAATTAAACCACAAGTGGTTCAAATTTCAACTAGAGATATATGTCTGTTTGAAAACAGAACACAGGGCTTTTCCGCTTATTATTTTTGCAGGACTCTATGCTTTTTTGCCAATGTGCAGTCATGTACATATGTAAATTATATTTTTATGTTCAAAGTTCATAAAAAGTTATATTGAGCTAGTATAACCAACAGATATAAAATATACAAAAAATAGTTGATGGCATCATGTTGAACTAAACTTGAAGTCAATCCAAGTTACGAAGTGTTAAATTTTGGAAGTGGAATGAAATTGCATATATTTAAAAAATCATAAAAAATCAACCGATGATGTCATGGTGACAGCATTTCGGATTTTGCATACAAGTACATGTACCATTATCCAGCTATCCACCAAGTTTCATGACGATCGGAATTTCCCTTATATGTGTTTTCACAAAATCGCACTTTTTATGACGTCATGATGACGTCACACATTTTTCAAAATTGTGTGTGTTTACCTATTACCTAACATACATAATGCAAAAAGAATAAAATATGCACCTTTCAGATGACGTCACGTGACCCATGGTGACGTCATGATGACGTCAATTTTCGGGACACAACTTTGCTATAGGGACTATGCCTATGCTAACTTTGAATGATGAAGGACAAAGATTAATGCCAAAAGTGGCGTGGACAAAAGACGTGTACAAAGTCTATGAGATTTGCCAGGGAACAAAAGAAGAAGAAAGAAAAACTAGAGGTCTATGTCTGTTTGCAACAGAACATAGGGCTTTTCCGCATTATGATTTTTTTTAATCAATAAGATGCCCTGAATATTCATGAACATAAAATCTGTCAAAGTTAGCCGAAAATCGGCAAAAAAACAGTCACTGTGGACAGGATTTGGCCTCGGCATTACGTGGTATGTGCGTGTGCACAAGGTCTTTGCTTGGACAAAGAGTGATCTAAATAAATTACTTGCAAAGAGTCGAAAACGCACTTTGAAAATCGACAAATATTTTTAAATTTGTTGATGACGTCATCTGACGTCACTTCGAACTTTGCATACTGATTTACTACCTACCCACCAAGTTTCATGACAATTGGACCTTTCCTTATATGAGTTTTGCAAAATCGCATTTTGATGACGTCATGATGATGTCACACATTTTTCAAGTTTTCTGCGAATAGCTATTACATAACAGACCAAATGCAAAAAAGAATTTTGCATTTTGCATGTTGCGTTCGGGAGATATGGCTAAAAGGTCCAAAAAAATAAATATTCATATAAAATCTCAGGATGACGTCATCATGACGTCACCTCATTTTTAATCTATAACACATCCTGGTATAGCCACATACCAAGTTTCAACCCAATCGGACTTACATTTCTGTAGATATAAGACTTCACTATATGTACGTAAATTTTCAAAAATCAATAAAACAAAATTAGGTGATGACGTCATCGTGACGTCATAGTCTTGGCATAATTTTTGTATGAGGGTCTTCCTTGGCTGTAACTTTGATGACGATTCCAGATCGCCAAGTTATAAAAAAGGTGTCTTGAAAACGTGTACAAAGTCAATGGGTTAAAAATCCCACAGCAGAAAAACTGCACCTTTAAATACGTGATTTGCCTTTAAACTGAAACATTTTAATAAAATATTACTTGATATTCTGACTCTTGGGAATATTTTCAATCAAATGGCAAATGTAAAAAAATACGATTTCTTTTTCCTTCTCATAGTAATTCTCGGCCGAAGTTCAGAACTACTCAGTAACATATATCAGTGTTGTATAGGAAAAGACTTGTTTAGAAAGCTGTGTACAAAGTCTATGAGAAAAATTAATTATTCATGAATACATAATAAATCACATGATGATGACGTCATCATGATG